AGGATTTTGCACATAATCGCTTATACAATATGAGCCGGCCACATGGGAGGAAATTCTGCTCTTCAGCCCCACTTCAGTGAGTGCTCTAGCTTGAGCTTGTTACTGGGAAGAGAGGCGAATAACACGAGGTATGGTAAACTCGATGTCGACTGAGCTCACATATTTCCCCGCTTCCCTGATTCCCTTCACGGATCGTGAGAAATGGAAACTTTTTATGAGTGGCCCGATATTCATGAAACGGTGAAAATTCGTTCTAAAAAAGTTAATTGGGTTACTTGAGGGGGGAATTTGTCAGAAAAACACTATGAAGGTTTTCCGTGATGAGGAATCTAACGGTGATAGCAGCATTTCCAAAAAATGCACAGCAACTTTGGGGTAGCAAAAATTTAGGGTGGACCTATAATTATGAAACGCAGTGTATGACCTCGTGTAAAAACTAGAAAATAAAGAGAACTATCTATGAGAGGACCTAAGAGATACACGTACAATATACCGCAGCCTTCAGAGATCTTCGTTCCCTGGAGGCGATAATAGGGCATCATGACCTGTTAGTCTCATGAACATCGTCCTTGAACTATTAGGATGGTAAGAAAGTCCTGAGCCGTTTGACACTTTTTTGCTTTACTTTTTTATTCCGCGTACAATGGAATCTACTCAACAATATAATCACCATTGTTACTCACTACAGAGTCCCACCTAATGGGCAGGTCAGCGACCCCCTTCTCCCAGAACTGAGCAGACTGAGAGTCAAAGAAATCGCTGACCGCTCTTTCAACGTCTTCAACTTTGGTGAATTTTTTCTTCGCTAGGAATGCCTTGAGGGATGAAATAAGTGATAATCAGAGAGGGCAATGTCAGGGGAATAGGGTGGGTGGGGAACGCGTCCCAGACCAGCTCTTCCAATTTTGCACGGGTAGCTATGTGGGGCCTGGCGTCATCGTGGAGTAGGTGGACAGAAGTTCGTCTCGGTCGTTTTTCTCGAACAGCGTCCGCTAGTTTCTGGAGCTGACTGGCGTAAATGCTGCCGGTAACGGTATGCCCTTGCGGGAGCAGCTCATAATACAACATTCCTCACGAATCCCAGAGGCAGCAAAGAAGACAGCTTTTGGGGTGAAGGTCCGATTTTGCTTGTGTCGGCGGGTCTTCTCCTCGAGGGAGCCACACGGCACTGTGCTTGTTAGAATCGTAGAGGACCCAACTCTCATCTCTCGTAATCATGCCTTCCAAAAACTCCTTTCGGTGCGGACAAAGAAGGAGAAACTGACAAATGGGTACCCGCCTGAACCGCGTGCTATCGGTCAAGACATGAGGGATCCATCGAGTCAGCACTTTCCTGTGGCGAGGGCGTGGAGGGGACCGAGGACTGTGGGATGGGTGCACCCGAGTCTTATCACAAGGCTGCGGGTGCTAACCTCCGGATCCTCTTCGACAGCGCCGAGAACGGTGGAGTCTTCCACTGTTTGGGGGCTTCCCAACCTTGACTTGTCTTCGGAAGCCGTGTCTCCTCCTTCGAAGCCTGCGAACCAGAGCTTGGCACTGATGATGGAAGTGGTGTCCCTTCCCAATGCGATGCTGATAATGTTGACGGTTTCCACTGCTCCTGTGCCGCAGCGATTCATTGAAGATGATCGCTCGAAAGTGCTCTTGTGGAATCGACATCATGATTAAAGTTAAAGAAGGCAACCCGGCAATATATACCTACTGCGGAGAAGTATGATCGACAGCGATAATCTATCACGTAGCAGATTCTAGGTATCGATCAATAAGCGAAAGTTCTGGAGCTTTCAAAAAATCGGCTCAGGACTTTCTTACCATCCCAAGTATACAGTTTCATCTGCAATTTCCATATGTGCACTCGGAATGAGCCATACCTCGCTGTTTTTTGTGGGTTGGTGTTTTTTGTTGGTGGTTTTTGTTGGTACATTTTGCTCCGCTTCTCGGTGTTACGAACCCAAATTGTATTACCAAAGCGAAGGGAACAGAAGATAGCTAGTAAACAGTCAGCTATGAAGAAGTCTCGCGTAAACAACATCAATTATTGAAGAGTTCAGGGCTGAATGCGATCGCTTATTCAATTAGTGTCAGTGTTGGCTCTTAGCCACTGATTCTGACAAGGCACTCTCCACCAGGGTGAAAATCTTGTCGAGGAAGTGGTCAGATCAGTACGAACCCCCTCAGATCGAGATCATTTGAGTTAAATCGATTGACCCACATCGGAGTCTTGATACGACCCCTCTAACTTTGATTTGATGTGAATAAGCGAGTTCCATCAATGTACAGCAAAGCATTCAGTTGCAGCGCGGTTTATTTGCCGAAACCCCGCTCGAAACCGTCGAAATCTACACTCTCGATGAAAAGGTTCCATTCCCCATTTCATAACCTTTGGAGCAGTATGTGGTAGGGTTAGATAGAGCTGGATTTGCTACTACCGGGCAATATTGAAATTGATCTAAAATCTTTACACTCGAAGAGATAGGGTCTCTCAAATTTTGTCGAGGCA